TCCTCTCCTCTCCTCTCCTCTCCTCTCCTCTCCTCTCCTCTCCTCTCCTCTCCTTTCCTTTCCTTTCCTTTCCTTTCCTTCTTTTCAAGACTGAACCATTTTCTTTTGCCTCATTTTCTTTTGCTTTCCTAATGAATTCATCACTCCAACCCAGTGGAGTTGGAGTCCTGAACCAGCTGCCATCAGCATCTCTCAGGAACTTGTTAGACATGTAAATTCTGAGACCCCATCACAGACCTAGTGAGCCACACACCAGGGCATGGTGCCCAGCTATCTGTTGTTGTTGTTCTTTTATTTTATTTTCACCCAGCTATCTGTTTTAAAAAGCCTTGCAGGTGATTTTGATGCATATGGAAGTTTAGGAAGCCCTACTCCAGCCAAAGCTGGAGACTCATCTTTCCCAAAGTTCCTTTCCCACTGCCCTGCCTTTGTACAGAATTCCTGGAATGCCTTTCTCTCTTCTTGGTTAAATCCCAACTGTATTCCCAAGCTCACTTTGAGATACTGCTTTATCTATGATACCATTCCTGATCTTAACTTTTCATGGCATTATTTGGTTTTCCTTCCTGACACTCATCACTTATTAACTTACACTAGTCATCTGATGTATCTGTTTTATTTTTCCTAGTAAACTGGAAAGTCACAAAAGACAGAATCCGACTCATTTTTGTACTTCTTGGCACTTTACACTAAGTGCATTTGCACACAGTAGGCTCTCTAAAAATAGTTTGTGGCTTATTGGTTTTACATAGAAGATTGAGAAAACTAAACTATTGCCCAGGAGACATAAAAAAATCCTGTTAAATCAAGTAGGCTCATGCTAACTATTGTTTTGACTTATTGAAGCTAAACTAGACTTGAACATTGATGTGTCTTCAGGGAAGAAGCCAAATGTGCTTGTGTAAAAAATTCTAACCTCTCCTCTTTAGCTGGAGAAGTTGAATTAGCCCTGTCACTTCCTCTCGTGCCAAGAAAGCAGCTTCCATTATTCTGTCAATAATAGACTTTTATCTGGCATGTGACGCTTCTCTTAAATCTTTCTCATACCATTGCTGTGCTTTCTTCCACTGACGTATTCACATAGTGTTTCATAAGAAGTGACAGTTGCTTCTTACAGAGAGTTGTCCAAAAAGGTGGTATAAGCAGAGAGTGGAATTCAAGGTGGTTGGCTTTGGCAGAGCCTGATAGTGGGAACAAGATGGGCTCAGGCTGCCCCATTTTCAAACAAACTTGCTTCCCTTCTCACACAGAAACATCCCAGTTACAGTTGCTTGTGTCTTTATAGTAGCTTGCATCTCTCTGGGTGGTGGTGATGGAACAAGGGGAAAAGAGTAAGAAACTAAGGGTCTTTGTGTTCTCTTTCCTTTTTGTCTCTCCCTCTGCCCTTACAGGCTCTGAAAGTGTTCCAGCTGAAATTCCAGAGCAGACTGACTCGCCGCAGCTTCAGAGGCAGCGATCCCTGACTGCCAGCGCTCGCTGCCCCCACGCTGCAGGATGGTGCACATTGCCAGGCCGCTGTTGCTGCTCCTTGCTCTCTTCCTCCACGCGGACGCTGAGAGTAAGCCATTCTCCCTCCTCTACGGGGCTGTGACCATAACGAGTGGTTTTGTTCGCAGCTGGCAGCAGGCTCAGGGCGTCTGAATACGTTTCCTTTGGAAGTAAATCCTGAGACACTGTGGGATCCTCCTTGGCTACCAGCCAGCCTTTGAAAGAGATTATTGACGTGACTTCCTTACCATTTCCTCTCTCTCTCTCTCTTTATGCCCCTATTTTTGGGCATCTAACTGCCCCTTCTTTTTTTTTTTTTTTTTTTTTTTTTTTTTTGATAATCTTACCAGCCCGGTGGCAAAGACACTATGAGACCGATGATGTAACTCAAACTGGGGTTAACCAGTTGGTGGTGCCAATAAGTAAACACTGTTCAGACCCATTAGAAATTTCTTTCGTATTGTGGATATATCTATGTTTAGAAAAATGCACAATGTCACATCGAGCCCAATTAAACTTCCAAGCCCCTTGTAGCTGTCTTAGCAGCTGTTCTCATGTACTGTTTCCGACAGCTGTCGTCAAGTACAGTATTCAAACAAATCAAGCAGAACTGACAACGTTGCGGCTGGGTGAAGGGTGTGGAAGTATAAGGAGAATTCTGTGGACTACAGACACCAAAGTTTTTGGTTTATTGGACTCAATTTATGAAACTGAGCTTGTGGTCAATTAGCTTGCCAATTAATGAGAAGATCATATCTCCTTCGTAATTAGGAAATCATTAGGTCTACCTTGTTTACATATGTTTCTTTTCCCATCTGGCCCATGGTGTTTTGGAAGAGATAGTACTGGAGAAAGTCATGTCTCTGGCTTCGGCTCACTGACATGGCTGGTTTCTTTGTAGTGCTGTAGTTCATGAGCAAGTTGCCCATTGTCTTTGGGAGTCCCCTGGTATTATGGAAACGTATAACATCTGCAGTCATTAACTTTTCCCTCTGCTGTCTATTTCAGTGAGATTAAATCTGATTCATGCTGAGGATGTTTCAAAGACAAGGATCCTGTGTCATGTTGGCCCCTACCTATTAATTGAATTCTGACAAAAATTTCTTCAATAGCAGCCAATTTCTTTGTTTAAATAAGGGCTCTGTTTTCCAAAGAGAGCTTTCCAGGAGTGAAAGGAATCAGGTTAATAACAGGATGCATATGGAACATGCATGTATTAACCACATTTTCTGTGGTTATAGTCTCCTAATTAGCACTTGAGAGTATTGGTTTAAGGTGACACCAAGGAATGTCTAGGACAATGCCAGCAAATAATTAACTGGGAAAAGACCCAAATGAAAGATGCTCTTGTTACTTTAAAGCCATTTATGTCAAAATCTATTTTAAAGTTGTAATCTAAATTTAGTTTATTAAAGAAATCAGGCATATGGCTTTATTTTTCTGTTTTGGCTAGAATGAAAAAGTACATTGTTTTACAATTGTTAATTTTTGGCAAAAACCTGTCAGCACCCTGGGAATCCACTTTAATTTCAGATAGCAGTTAGAGATTTCCTTAAAATTACTAGATATAATTGTCATATATCCATGAAGTTATCCTTCCAGATAAGTAGAAATGTTTTTCTACTGAGCAGCTTTACCTTCGTTTAAATCTCTGGTGGAATGTGGCAGACAGATGTCAAGTACTCTTACAATTGTTTTAAAAAACAATCTACACTCCAGATGATCATCACCTACTCCTTTCCCTCCTGCACCTCCCCTTCTCCCTCTACCTCCACCCTTCACCACACTTCCTTGATAGCAACCTTCCAAAAGGGAAAACAGGGGCCACAATAGCAACTTTTAGTTAAGATGTTTACCAGGTTATATGTTTACATGATAATCAGCTCCCAAGCTCAAGATGTAAGCTGAAAAAGAATCATTCTCTCTCACTCTTCCCATGGCGACTAATGAAAAGGGACAGACTTTGCCTGAATAATTTGTTTAGTTTTCCCCGGGTCTACTCCAACCTTGCTTTAGTATGTTTTCCCTTTAGCCGATTTATTTGGCGTTGTTGAATGGGATGTGTAATCCAAGAGATTCTCGAGGTGAGAGGAAAAATTAGCCATATTTTTTAAGGTACATTTTGAAAGAAGAAAGAACATCCCTTATTGATCTATTGGAGGACACTCATGGTACATGAAAACACATGGTTGGAGATGTGCTTTTCGTCCCTAAAGGATGTTTAAAGAACAATTGGGAAAATGGGTCCCAGATTATAACCTATTAAATTGTGCTGCTACCTTTCCATAAAACACTGGAAAAAAAAAAAAAAAAGACATCCTAAGTAGCACTGAAGAAGAATTAGATTTTTTTCATCATCACCTAAATACAGTATTTCTGAAGCTCCCATTACCTGGGACACTGGTTTGTTACTCTATGCTTTGATTAGCACATGTAGCCATGTTTTACCTAACTCTATTTTGGAATTTTTACAAGGAATCAGGAGTTCTATTTCAAAATTTAATAGTAACTTGTCAGAGCCATTTGAGAACGATGAAATAATTTTTAAAAATCCGTTTGCCCATTTAAGAATGAGAACCATGTGGGGATGGGAAATGCAAAGAAGCCACTCCAGTTCACCATGCTAATTTAATGTGCTCTGCTCACTGCCTTTTGAAATGATTAACTCCAAAGAGCCAAGGAGTCAGGATTATCATCTGCTCTGTGGAAGTCATAGTAAAGTTAAAGTGCTAGGTGTGATGTTGCATTAAGTAGAAGAGCTCTTATGAGCCTTGGTTCAAAGCCAGGTCGAAAATTGTGATAATATCCCTTTAGCAGAAAATTATAGTCTTTGCCATTGCCAATTTAAAGTGCCCCACAGATCCCCACTATTACAAAGGCTAGATGTATGCATGGATCTGATTTCTTTTTATCCCTATGTCTTGAGTGCTGGAAATGATTTTGCTTGTTTCTTGAATGTGGGTACACATGGTAGAGCTGTGGTCTCAGTGTGACTTCGGTTCGAGCACAAACAGTAGTTCCTCCTCCTGTCAAGCCTACTAGTTTTCTGGCTTAGGTGGTCTGATTGAGGTTCATTCTAGTTTAAGTGGTTGTCCGATTGAGGTCAGATTTTGTCTTAGGCAGTGGTCTGATGGAGGTCAATTCTTTGATAACATGAATGCAAATTAAAAGTAAATTTATACTAGCATTTTCCTGGGGTGTTTTCCTGTTGGCTGAGTTTTCATAGCAATTTCTGATAGTTTTATTTCATGTGTAGCTTTAGTTTTTTTATTTACTAGTTATTTTTTATTTGTTTTTTGTTTGTTTTTTTTGTTTTTGTTTTTGTTTTTGTTTTTTTACCTAGGTGCAGGCTACAAACCTGCTTTTAGGACTTTCTTTCATCAAACTGGTTTCACTGTAATAAAATCACTTACTGTTGACTGTTGCATTCTAGACTTGAGTTTATACTTTGACAACTGTAATTTGACCTGAATAGTTATTGGATCTTCATTGGAAACACAACAATTGATAGTCTAATTCCTCAAATTGCTTACCTCATCCATTTTCTGTTACTTTTTGCTTTTTTCCATGTCAGATGGTAAACGCTCCCTCATTTTCCTCCCTTATTATAAGGAAACTTCTTAGTCCTTGTCTACTCACTGTATTCCTGTCTTACATAAAAGCAATGAATCCCCCCCCCCCACTTTGGTATTGTATCACTGTATCCATTGGCATTAGAGAATAGGCTGGCATACACACAGTAGGAGAACGATTCTTACCTTATATATTTCCTGATGGGCAGTGTGGAGTAATGGTTCAGAAAGTGAGCTCTAAAGCCAGTCTGGTTTTAAGTTCTGGCTGTCCTCTGTAATCTGGAGCATGATACACCATGCTCTTTCCCTCAGTTTCTCTATCTTTAAAATGTGAGTGATGGTGATGATGATAATCATTATGATGATTGTATAGGAAAGGTCCTACTCCTGGGTTTTGTGAGCATTGAATGGGCTAATGTAAAACACAAAATCAGCAGATGACATATGATAGGTTTTTAATAAACGTTAGCTGTTATTATATCATTATGTCAAAAACACATAGCCAACAGTGTTATTGAGCAGTTCTATGAGGTGATGTGCTAAAATCCTTTTTTATTTGACCTGCAGATTATCAAAATTTTGGTGGTTGGTAAAACAGGTTTTCTCACACCATGTTAATGACTAAACTTGCTTCTCTATAAAGTCCCTTACATAAGAGATGCTTGAAACTCTTGTATTGTGAATTAAACTGAAGATCAAGAGGAAAAATTATAAAGCATACTTAGTCAAGCTAGTCAAGCTTGGAAAAAAAAACCTCCTATCCCAGAATTACCGATTTAAAGTTAATTTGGGGGGCGCCTGGGTGGGTCAGTGGGTTAAAGCCTCTGCTTTCAGCTCAGGTCATGATCCCAGGGTCCATAATTTATGACCATATGAAAAGCCATTTACTCATAAATTATTCTGTAAGAAAAAAAAAAAGGAAAATAATTAAAGGGCAGGGCAAATTATTCCTTTTGCATTTTGCAGAATCACTTCTGAGATGTAGCCCAAGCATGCAGTTGGACCTTCCAAGATGAGGTTAGAAATGGAGAGGATGTCTTTTTTGTGTCATCAAAATGCATACCTCTCAGCAGATAGGACATTTCACACTGAGAACATTAATATGCCTTAAAAACCACTTTTTCTGTTTTTACTTTACATTGTGACTATTTGGGTATGTATGTATGTATACCCCAAACTATTTAAACCGTCCCTTAAAAGGTAAATATTGCCTGGGTGATGAAGATGTTCTAAAATTAGATTGGTGTGATGGTACTAATTGAGTAGACACCTACTAAATGCCATTGAATTGTACACTTTAAGTGGGTGATCTCTATGTTGTATAGATTATATTTCAGTGGAACTATCGAGAACAGAAAAGAGAAACTGCTGCTTAACCTGGCAGTTTGGTCAGATTCCCTTCAGTGTATACACCCTGAAAGGAAGGTGTGCTGATTTCTTTAGAGCAGTTATGATAGACCAGCTCACTGAGGAGAGCAGTGAGAAATCCAGTTCATGT